CTTTGAAATGTCACGTTTGTGTAAATTACATGTGAAGACTAGTTTGCCGCCGTACTTCTTAAGTTCTACTTCAAAAAAGTATTTCCATTTTCCGCAGTTAGAGTCGTCGAGGTATTTTTTGATCCAAACAGTCTTGAGCGATTTGGTAAATGAAGCGATGTCAATCATTTTTAACCCTCCATTGTTATAGTCGTTTGTCATGACACTTCGCTTAATCTTATCGCACTTATTGTTCCAAAGAAAGCTGAAGAAAAGATCGTGTATTTCTTTGATAATTTTATGATTTGTCGGCAGCGGAGCTAAAATATACGCAAGTTGAGATGCCGCTAAGCTTTTAATAACTTGGATTTTGCCGAGTAACGTTAGCCGCCTATATTTCCAATTGCTTAATATGTTTTTAATTTTGTTCGCTTTTTCCCTATAGTTTAAGCTTAATGTGATATCAGGATAGGTAGAAAGCCAAACGCCAAGGACCTTAACTTTGTTTTCTGGCCATTTAAAATTCTTCTCGGGAAGAAGTTTTTCCTTATTTCCTGCCATTGATCCAATCCATAGAGCTTCAGTCTTTTTACTGTTGAGTCTGAGACCAGACATACTGCTAAAAGTCTCGATCATCTTAAGTGTGGCGGATAATGAATCTCTAGTACCGTTAAGAATGAAAGTTGTGTCATCTGCATACTGGCTAATTTTAATTTCTGAGTTGTTTACAGATATTCCTTTAATATTCTTGTTCGATCTGGTTGCTTTAGCTAAAATTTCAGCAGATAGTATAAATAGGTACGGCGAAAGAGGGCAACCTTGCCTAACACCTCTTTGTGGTTGAAAAAAACAACTCGTCCAGCCATTGTTTAGGACACAGCTTTCGATGTTCTTGTAAAATGTTTGAATCCAGGTTATCAAAGAAGAGCCGAAACCAAAGTGCTGGAGCGTGCGCTCAATAAAAGACCATTCAAGCGAATCAAAGGCTTTTTCAAAATCTACAAAGAGCAATAGCCCAGGGATATTTTGTTGAGAAGCGTAATTTATAATGTTATCTATCAATCTAATGTTTTCTCCAATAAATCTTCCTTTTAGGAAACCGGTCTGGTCGTTATTGATAAGTTTTGGGATAACAGATTTTATTCGGTTTGCGATAGCTTTCGCAGCTATTTTGTAGTCGCAGTTGAGGAGAGTAAGGGGCCGCCAGTTTTTAATGAAGTGCGGTTCTGCGTCTTTTTTTGGTATGAGTTTAATGATTCCGCGTCTCTGTGTGATCGAAAGGGCTCCTTTATCATATGAATAGTTGAGTGCACTTATTAAAAGAGGAGATAAGTCTTTCCAAAAAATTTTGTAGAACTCGGCAGGGAGTCCATCAGTTCCAGGGGTTTTGTCTCGATCCATGTTTCTTAAAGCTTTAAGACAATCTTGTTCGGTTAAATATCCTTCGCAACTCGTTGCCTCGTTGTCGTCCAGAGACGTTTCGTTTTCAGGTTGAAAAAAATCGCTGTCTGTTGGTATCACATTTTCCTGGGATGTGTAGAGCTCTTTGTAAAAGGTTTCGCATTCAGCAAGGATTTCCTTATCAGATGTGATAAATTTTTGATCGGTGATTTTAAGCTGGCCTATTGTACTCAGTTTGAAATGTCTTTTCTCAAGGTTTAGAAAATATTTAGTGTTTTTTTCGCCTTCATTGTACCATTTAATTTTACATCTCAAGATTGCCCCTTGGGTACGTACTTTAATTATCTCTTCTAATTCACTTTTGGATAGCTCAAGTTGTTCTGTTTTATTTGTTTTTTGCGTTTCGCTGACAGAAGCCTCTTCAAGTTCTTTTTCTAGTAAGGCGATTTTTTCTTCTAGCTCATGCTGTTTATGTGAAGTTTTACGCTTTTTGGCAGTAGCGAAGCCAAGAGATTTCTCTCGAATTTTAAGTTTGATCATATCCCAAGGGAGCGCAGGGTTTATTGACTTATCATTTGCGTATTCGTTCTCTGTTTCCTGGATGGTTAACCTTATCAAATCGATATAATCCTTATCGGCCAGAAGCGATGTGTTGAGTTTCCAAAAACCAGGTCCTCTTGGGTTTGAATGCAGAGATATATTTAATGTGATCATTGAGTGGTCTGTCTTAAAGCCCGGTAGGATGTTTGCGGAGGTAATGCTACCCAGAAAGCTCTGACTTGTTAAAAAGAAATCTAGTCTACAGTGGACAGTAAGCTGTGTTTGGCGCCATGTATACCTTCTTTCTTCGGGGTTCAATATTCTCCAAGCATCAACAAGCTCGAGGTTATCGCATATCTCATAAATGGTTTTTTGCGCATTGTGATGTGTTCTGGGCAGGCCACCTTTTTTATCTTTCTCTACATCAAGGACGAGATTGAAATCGCCTCCAATAATAATTTCCTCTCCTTCGAAATCTTCAAGGTGATCAAGGAGATTCTTAAAAAAAGCTGGATCATCTTCGTTAGGCGCGTAAATATTTGCTAAGGTTATACTTTTTCCATTTGTTTTTAAGTCACACAAGATAAGGCGCCCTGAGTCATCAATGAAAGTTTTCATAATTTGAAGATCGAAATTATTGTTGAAAAGAATGCTTACCCCAGCTTTGCTGCTGGAAAATGAGCTGAAAAGACTTTTGTACATTCAGCAGCCCATAGGTGTGAATTTTCTTGCGAACAATGTACTTCTTGCAGCATGTAAATCGAGTATTTCTTAGATCTGAGCCAATTAAAAATTTCTCTTCTTTTAACGTTATTCCCAAGGCCCCGTACATTGAGAGAAGCTACCGTGATAGTATTGTTATCTATTTTGTATATAAAAAAAAGGGGATATAATAGGTAACTGCACTGTTTGATTAATCGACAATAACAGCGTTATGGCCGAGCGAAGGTGTTTTGCATACAGCTCAGAAATTGTAATTTTTAAGCTTTGAAAGAAAAGATTGCATCGGAAAGCTGTAGTTATAATTTTATCGATGTAGTTTATAAAGCTATGCACACTGGAATCGACAAAACAGCATTGTACTAGTACGAAAAGCAAACAGGTGGCACGGAAACACAAACAATTACATATAAAACAGCTAAAGTAACCAAAAATAACACAGGCTATAGTGTTGCGGAAACCATCGTTGGTTCGCTTGTGTGTTATTGTGGCGAATGCGAATGCGAATTCGAAATGGTCGTTAAGAAATCTTTTTTGATGCTGTTCTAATCTAAATAATGACGTAATTTCTTAGAGGCCAGGTCTAAAAACGGGCATGGATTTTTGGGGTCAGGGGCCCGTTTTTCGAAAGTCCCGATAATTAACGGGCCTGGAAAGCCGTTGCCTTTTACATTAAAGATCGAAGTTTTAATAGTTTTGCATCTAACATGATAAAACTATCAGTTAATGAAACAAAATGGAGTAGTTTTCTTGGCGGGACCCGCGTTCTTACCCTTTATATTTCGATTTGAATATTTGATTTGGGGCCCGAAAAGTTACCAGGACGTTCGAGAAACGGGCCCCAGGTGTGGAAAAGGGTGTGAAAAATGACAGATTTTAGTCTTTCTGGTCTGGAGAACCGGGCGGCACACCCCCACCAAGAATTCCCAGGAGTACCCCCGCCGGGGTCCAGTTTGTGATTGCAACACCAACAAGAAACTACCCAGTTGTATGACTTTTGTATGAATAAGATATTCACGAAGCAAAAAATGAAAAAAACAAAACAAAATAAATAAATAAACACACACGCACAATATATCCCCGTCACTGAAAGGTAACTTCAGAGAGGGGAAGAAGTAAATGAAATGTGACTTAAGGCCGGGACTCCATTCAAAAGAATGCGTTATTTAACGTGGCCACCTTGTGCAAGATAAATGAGAGAATGGCTTGCAGGTTGATTTGAAAGCTGACTTCTTGCCAGTTGACACTGCAGTCACCCACTTTGTCCTAAGAGGGAAGAAAATGCAGTTCACATTCTAAAGAGTACAGTTAAGCAGCAGAGTCTTCTTGCGAACAATTTCACGACATTCATGGGACGAACTGTCTACTTCTTTGAGACATATTTTGAAATATCACGAGTGGTATTTACACCCAAATATCAGGTACAAATCATCCTATTATTTGTTTATAATTTTCACATGTAGGTATTTCAAATTACCGGTAGGTCTTTCAAATTACCGGTAAGCTGAAATACCACTGCTCTAAACCAATAAAATTACAGAAATTTCTCATGTAGTAGTATAAGAGCGTGGAACTGGACTACGGCTACGGCGACGACAATGACAACGGCAAAAAAGCAATAAGTTTAGATTAGCAAAACAACAACTTTGCACGTAATCACGCTTTTTTGTACATTTCCTTGCCGTCTCTGCACGACTACGACTTGAAACTGCCTAATTTCACGTCTTACCGAGGACGTAAACACAAGACAACGACTTTCTATTTCTTTTCTGTACTATGACAAGGTCCTTTAGAATTCAACTTCTGAAAAAAATCGCCAACATTTGACAAATTAAAAGAGTTGAAATAAGAGCAATGAAGTTTGAGACAGCCAGAATTCACTCTTTGGAAACGTCATCATAGCCGTTGCCGTTGTCGTTGCTTAAGCTCCCTATGATTGAGCCAACTGGTTTTCCTCCGGCCAGTTGGGATTCTTTAAACTTGTGGCCACAATGAGAACTAATGGATTACCATTAATTGTGGTTCCCCTTTAAAGTCCGTTTTTTCACTTTTGTACCTAAGGCCTGGTTTACCAGGCCCCATATATTTGAAAACACAACTTTATATACCCCACTTACTCGTCTTACCACGAAACCATTGTTCATTATATTGAAAACGGGGGCGTTTCATAATTTGGGTCTGGATAAATGTGCATGGTAACCCTAACCATTTAAATATAGTTGCGTTTATTATAAATTTTATCCTGCGAAGTGTAGACAGCTGGGCCTAAGAGTGATTGTGCACACTAATTATACAGCTAATATAATACAAACACTTTCTCTATCTGGAGAACAAAAACAGTCGCACACTATAATTTTACCTGTTAATACGTCTGCGATAGATGGACGCCTTGATTTCGAATCGAGTTTTCCCAGTCTATAGAACTCTTCATCAACTTTCTTGAACCGCTGGTTAACAAATCGAAACATATCTTGGAGCTGGCTAGAAACTGAACCCATGCTGTCAGATTTGCAAAGGATAAAAGCATATCTATCATATTGGAATAACGGTTATCTTTTTAACTACTTGTAAGCATTTTTTGTGGGGTTTGAAACTCGTTTGGTAAATAAATATATCTAGAAAGGACAAAAGAAGCAACAAAAACAAACAAACAAACAAACAAACAAACATAACAAAACGAAACAAAGAAAAAAGCAATCGTTCACCACTGGCTACCTTACTTATTCTTAGTATCAAAAGCCATACTTCCAAAATTTATCAAAGTGCAGCCAGTGAAAAGCATTTGTTTTTTTTGCTCCACGCTCCTCCCAATAAAATTTTGTAAAAATAGTCACGAATTGATTGATCTAACAGACAAAAAAATGTAACTAGAAGCATAATTCCGGCTGGTTATACCTATCATTGATCACTCTGATTTGTTCTTCTTGGGTGGCACGAAGCAGTGCGTTTTTCTCTCTAAGGTATTCATCTACGCATCGCTCTTCGAAAATTTTCATGCTATTTTCATAGGAATTCCCTAGGGAAAGATAAAATACAGCTGCTTACATGGCGATTAACTGGTCAGCATTCGATTACATTCTTCAGAACCACCTTCCCCTCTTAGCTACACTTACATGAAATTTCTAAGTCACTCAAACGTCTGCCCTTCTAATCTCTTTTCTTAATCTAAGTCCTATCGATCCCCGGACAGAGGCACCGAATCCTATCGTCTCCACCACCTATACCACGGTGGATTCGACAGCGAGATCAGCTTCGTTTGACATGTTTATGGTGACAGACCTAACAGTAAATGAAAACTAACCATTTCGAGTCAGTGCTTAACCCTAATCACTATTGTCAGTATTTAACCCTCATTATTATAGTCAGTTTTCAACCCTGATCACTATAGTCAGTGCGCTTGCTTCTATATGATGAACTGCTTTGTGTAACATTCATGACGTGTCTAATGTGGTTCTGGACGATGGAATCTAATGTTGACCCAATTAACTGGTGCGTGATTAGAATGTGGTCTCCCATCTCTTCTGTCATCAAAAACCATGAAAGCCTAACACTGAAGGTTAGCAAACAAACAAGGATGAAGTAATTGCGCATTCTTCTTTCATATATATCAGCATCGAATGAAGACACAGTTGTTTAAAAATTACCTTCTGCTCTCCCTTTTTCGATCTGAATAGTTCAGACCAGAAAGTTCTGGCGAACTTTGCTTTGGTTTTAAAAACTAGACGTCTTACTTTTCACTTTAGAAGCAGCGTCTTGATTTCCATTTCGATTGCAAGATTTCTTGAAACAGCAGCGGTACAAGAATCTTATAGCGTAGATCACATGATTCAAGATAATGAACGGTGGTATTAAGACAGGTCTCTGCTTGTATTCCGTAACCAGGTAGTAACGCTCAAACTTCCAGATCTGTTTTGCGTTGGTCTGCACCTTCTCGTACGTATTACTGAGATGCAAAGGATGAAAGTTAAATAGCTATAATAATATGTAAATTAAGGGTAACGGCAAAGGCTCACAGGAGCCAAAGGCTCAAACGGCCGGAGCTCATATTATTCCGGTTTCCTTAGCATGAGGTATGCCTAGGAGTATTGCTACTCCCCTCTGGACGGGATGCTAGTCCATCGCAGGGTTACCCTCCGGCAGTATGTCGCCGGTACCCATTTATACACCTGAGTGAAGAGAGACAAAGTGGAGTTCGTGCAGTTAACCGCTCGACCACAACCGCCTCCACAGGTGTATAGGATGAAAGTTAAATAGCTACATGTAGATAAAGATGTAAGAATTATGGCATAAAAGGCGCATGCTGCCGATTCTCAAGCCATTTTCACCTTATCTTTTACAATCAATTCAGTGATATTTGACTGATAGTTGATTTTCTCATTAAGAATGAGCTTTGGACACCATTAATAGTTAAGGCTTTTCAAGCGATTTCCTGTAATCCAATTGGTCAACTTTGTCTAACTGGCCCCGGTTACAGTAGTCTAACTTTAAGTGTCATGGATATTACACCTTAATAATCGACGGTCTCCATCCCCGTCGAAGGCAATCGGACCTAATCGTTCAGTTTTTCAATCGTGGAGACAGCGTGGCCAAGTGGTAAGAGAGATGGACTTGCAACCCAAAGGTCTATTACAAAGCATTCGAATGAAGTTCCATTGTGTCGATAAGTCTCGTAGCGTAAGGACAGGCCTCTGACACCCTGCGTTAAAAAAGTTCGATTGGTTCGGTAATTGTTCTATTTTGTTCGATTATCGAATTCAGTTGAACCAAAAACTCATGAGGGGTTGAACAACCCTTATGAGTTTCTGGTTGAACTCAATCAGTGACAGGCACAAAGTTGAGGTCGATAGAACTAGCGTTCGATTATTATTATCATTTTAAGAACTAACAAATCGACGACAATTTTACATGGTCTGTACTCTTATAGACTATAGAAATAATGTCAACATGTTAAAAAGTTTGCAGCAAAACCACTCGCCTGCGACTCTTGGTTACACTTGACTTTTGAACATTTTGACGTTATTTCTATGTTCTGTAAGAGAACCGACCAAAAACATTGTCTTCGATATTTTTACAATAACATTGGTAGTTGTTGAAATCCATTTAGATTCTAGCTTCTCGAAAATTCGCGCGGAGAAAAAAGACAAAAACAAATTGTGCCACCACCACATCATTTCCATGGTCTGCAATCTTATCGACCGTACCTCTCGGCAAAAGAGCACGCGAGAAATCGCTCAGTTATTGTAAAACTAGAGTTCGATTATCTAGGTTAGGTCTACATGTAAATAATAGTACGGTGATAGCGTAACGAATTAGTCCACTGTTTATGACGATCTTTCTGTATTCATATCGAGTTCTGGAATAAAAATACGCAGAAATTTGTGACAAATCCGTTCAATCCCCAATTTTTGGACCATTAGCAGACCACTTTCATCTCATTTGTTAATATCCTCCAGATTTCTAAATTTTACTAGTGTAAAACAAGTGATTTTTGACTCTATTCCATGTTTTCTTATTCCGGAATATGGTCATTCGAAGGAGCCTTAGGCAACTTTTTAATAGAGCAATTTACTCTTGGAGACTTACTTGAAAATAGCAATAAGAAGATTTAACAGAAGAATGTTGACGACAAGCAAGTAAATCGCTGTCATGAATGACACTACTGTGTCCCCGTAGCTATCTTTTCTTGGAGTGCCAAAAACAGTCGTTGTGTTTTCAACTGGAATAAAATATACGAGACAATTAGCTACCACAGCCAGACCCACATACACATAAACCCAGAAACTGTGGGACCACAGAGCCATAGGCTCATAGAGCCCCAATCACAAATGGAGCACATTTCGAGCGTAAAGGATATCTTTATCGAAGATCAACTTAAAACAAAGGAAAAAGCGAGCTGAATAACGAAAGTTTTCTGTAGAAGTATAAATGTAACCGCGGACTATTGCGCTCGACAAAACTTCTATTCTCGAATACATGTTCACGAAATGGTAGCCATCACCTGGTATTCCGCGATTATCAAAACGAAATACTTACTTAAATCTGGAGCATTCAAAAAGAGTTCTCCATAGGCCTGAAAGTAAGGCCTGAAGAAGACCCGAGATGCCATGGACCAGGAAGGACCTTCGTTTGGGTACAGGATAGCTTGTTGAGGAATTCCATAGGCCAGGAAAAAAACCACCATGATCAGAAGAAAATACATTAAATCCAGAGTCTAAGGAGTCAAAAGATATTAAATAACAAATGTTTTGCAAGGCCAGAATGGTCAATGCCCTGACAAGCACCATCAAGCAAACAGCAACAACAACAAAGTTGCTAAAGAAATACGAAAAAGCTGCAGTAGTGTGTTTCTCGCACTTCCTAAATAATTTTATGACTTAAAAATAATAGAATATCAAGGTAAATTTTCCTGAATGTGTTTTCTTTAATTGCTTCAAGGTTCTTTTCAAAATATGAAATTTCTGATGTAAAAGTAATTTTTCATTCAGTTACTTGACTTTCAAACAGAACCGGTTAGCGCTTGCCCTGCACTTTTATGATGGAATATATGTAACCTAGAAATAGCATTGGTTTTACTCATTACCCTGTAAGTTCAATTTGGTTACTAAAATCAGAGAACTATACGCTGTTCACTGGGTCGTAGTTAATATAATCTAATAGTTATGAAGCCCGACAAGTTTACCGTGTCTTGCGCCCAAAGCTTTCCAACCAAGTTGGAATGAATCCCCGTTATGTTTTGCCCGCTTTCAATTGGACACTTTCCTCTTTTACTTTGAGTATTTACGTCAACATGTGACACTTGTATACTGTAATCATCACAATTATGTACAGGATATGAATCATGCGTGCTTATAAATAATGTAATGTAGTAAATTTGAACTCCAAATAGAGAAATTACTTGGTAACCCGGCGTGTTACTTTGAAGCTAAATATTTAAATGATCTTCAATAACTGTCGTCCCCTTACCATCCTGTGAATCATCACCACATAAGGTCCCATGTATTTGCTAACAGAAAAAAAGTGCATCAAACGCATAATCCACAAAGCCACATCAAAGCAGTATACCACGTGACCTGCATCACGCGTTGGTGGATATAGTCTGAGTCCAAGGCCAATGAAAAACGATACCACTGCGAGGCCGTCGAAACGGTTCCAGTAACTGGAGGCCCATGTTTTGAATTTGTTTTTCAGTGTTGGAGGTTCGGAATGAAGAATCTACCAAAAAAAGAGCAATCTTTTATATAAATCGCAAACCGCATTGTTCCGCAATTTTACTCAATATACACGGTCAAACCCCTTCAGGCATGCCAGGACTTTTGGTGTCAAGTTTAAAACTTTTAGGGCCAAGAGTGGTTTTATTAATTCCCAATACCTTCGGGTAAACGCATTCTAATAGCCACCAGTTTTTTTAAAATAAAACTTTGTTCGTTTTTTATAAATTTTTTGTGTATTTAGATATCCTTTGTAGTTAAAGCTTTTGAATTTCTTAAATCGATTGTAATTTATGCGTTCTGTATAATTTAGTAGTTTTTGTCTTTTGTATGTATATACGTAGTTCAGCCTCTGGCTGCGATGTCCATACCAATAAAGTACCTATCCGTCCATTCATCCATCGATCCCTAGCACTCGGTACTTTAAAAAAGTGTGTGTTAAAATCTGTCCGCGCCCAACGAGTACCGTACGCGGGGCACTAAAATCAGCAAAATTATACTCTCTTCTAAAAGCAAGTGAAGTTCAATGTATGTAGTACATAAGTGATCTCTTTTTTAAGTGTCAAAGAGTCACCAGCTAGGCTAGAGGTCGTTATGTACAACATTGTATTACCTGTCTGATTTCCTCAGCGCACAAAGTACAAACGAAGATGATAAGCACAATTTCGGCGATGGAAGGAATTTTGTCTTGACGAACAAGAACAACGTAGCTGAACAGGGCCAGGAATAACATATAATCAAACTGAAAAGTCAACAACAATAAAAAAAATGAACTCAAAATCAGTTGCAAAACCTCTCAACAATCACAGACGAAACATCAAATCGACTGGGACTCCGCGACATGTTTATATATTCTTCAGACTACTATCAACGACCCACTTTAGAAAGCTGGTTTACTAACTTAGAACAAATACCTTCGAATGGCAGTCAACAGTTACCGGCACCGTACAAACGACTTATTGACGGAATCAAGCAAAACTAACTACGAGAGAGCGACTGGACAACTATCAATTTGACTAACAATAAACGACTGTTTAACTGTGACAAAAGATCGAAACGCACCAATGACATTACGAGTCTTCATAGCCAAAAACATCACAGCTTAACTGACAGACGACCAATAACATCGCGACTTAATTGACCAATGAGGTCAATAACCAGAGTTTAATACCATCAACTGACGTGATACAACTCACTTTGCTAAGCTAAGCTATTAGATAACCTAAAGCCACACAAGGCCGCTGGGCCTGATGGTCTTTCTCCCATGGTCCTCCTGGAGCTCTCTTCAGTAATAGCAACAGTCCTTCAGAAGATCTTCAGTAAGTCCCTATCATCTCACCAAGTACCAGAGGACTGGAAAAAAGTCTTGGTAATACTTATCTTTGAGAAAGGCGATAAGGAAAGTCCGGCAAACTACAGACTAATTTCCCTGTCATGTATCTGCAGTAAATTGCTAGAGCACACAATCACTAGGAGTATCATGTCACATCTATAACTTCACAATCTCCTCTATCATTTGCAGCATGGCTTTCGCTGATTCAAGTCGTGTTAATCGCAGCTAATTGAGTTTGTAATGATATTGTCGACAACTCGCATGCTAAGCAGACTGATATCATCATACTAGACTGTTCAAAGGCCTTTGAAAAGGTTCAACACAACAGACTTCTTTATAAACTAGAGAATTATGGTATTGGAGGCGGCACTCTGAAGTGGATTAAAGCCTTCCTTGAAAATCGGCAACAATGCGTAGTGGTCGACGGCGAGAGGTCTAATTTTGTAGCTCTCCTTTCTGATGTGCCTCAAGGCTCCGTCATAGGTCCAGTGCTCTTTCTGGTAGACATTAACGATCCTCCCGCAGAACAGAAGATCAATGGTTCATCTATTCGCCGACCATATCATTCTCTATTTGACTATCACAAGTGAATATCACTGCAGACAGCTCAAGGATGACCTTGAAGCGCTACAGAAATGGGAGGCAACTTAGAGGATGGAGTTTAATGACTCTAAGTGGGAGGTGTCCCCGATTTCGCCGTCTAAAACCCCATTCCAACATACTTATTACCTGCATGGCACTGTTCTCAAAAGATCTCAAGTGGAATCGACACATTGACTAGATAACAGCCAAGGCAAACCGCACGCTTGGCTTCCTTAAAAGAAACTTAGTAGTATAGGAGGGACCGTTTACTCCACTTTTTGGCGCAGGAATCATTAACTTGCGCAGGAATGCATTAACGCCAATGACGTCATAACCTTTTGTCTTTATCTCATGAATAAAATGCGCAGGATTCTCATTAAGATAAGGTCGTGTGCTATTTTTACTTGGTTTAGGCTTTCTAGTTACTTTAAGGTCGATAAACGTCTTCGTTTTCGATTGGTTAGTTAGAAAATAAGAAACGTTTTCATTGGTTAATTGACGGGCAAAGCGTGCATATAAATGAGGGCAAAGGCAAACTAGCTCTTTTTTTAGCACGAAAGACAATGCTTTACCTACCTGTCCCCTTTTCATTTTTATTTTCCTCCTCCTCCACAATTTTATTAATTTCCCTCCTCAATTTTTTTAGTCTCTCCTCCGCAATTTTATTTTTTTCCCTCCTCATTCTTGAATTGCCTCCCTATCCACAATACTAATCTTTCCCCACCTTCTCCTCATTCTTTTTTTATCCTTCTCCTTCACAATTTTTATTATGTTCCCTCCTCAATTTTGATTTGTCTCCGCCTCCACAATTTTATTAGTTTCCCTCCTCAATTTTTTTAGTCCCTCCTCCACAATTTTATTGTTTTCCCTCCTCCACATTTATATTATTTTCCCTCCTCATTCTTGCATTGCCTCCCTCTCCACAATATTTATCTTTCCCCACCTTCTCCTCATTCTTTTTTTTATCTCCCTGCTTCACAATTTTTGTTATTTGCCTCCGCCTCCACAATTTTATTATTTTCCCCCTCCACCTCCACCTCATTTATAATATATATATTTATATTTATTCTATATATTTTTCCAACCACAAATACATCGACCTCCGATCGATCCTACATCAACCCTACATCTACCCCACATCGAACCCAGATCGACCCTAGAATCAACTTTGCTTGGTGAATAGGGAATATATACAACCACCACCACATTTTTCCCCTCCTCAATTTTTTTATTCTCTCCTCCACAATTTTATTATTTTCCCTCCTTCATGTTTCTATTGAATCCTCCTGCTCCTCCACCTCCTCCTCATTTTTATTATTTTCCCTCCTCAATGTTTTTATTCCCTCCTCCTCCTCCTCCTCCACCTTCTCCTCCACCTCCTCCTCATTTTTTATCGTTTTCCCTCCTTCTTCTCCTCCTCCTCCTTCTCCTGCACCTCCTCCTTCTCCTCGTCATTTTTATCGTTTTCCCTCCACCTTCTCCTCCTCCTTCTCCTCCTCCTCATTTCTATTGTTTTCCCCTGAAAAGGCCAAAGAGGTCAAAATCAGGCCACCGCATTTGAGTTTGGTCTTTTAGGCCTGATTTTGGCCTCTTTGGCCTTTTCGAGGGAAAACAATAGAAATGAGGAGGAGGAGGAGAGAAAACAATAAAAATAAGAAGGAGGTGGAGGAGGAGGAGGGAATAAAAACATTCAGGAGGGAAAATAATAAAATTATTGAGGAGGGAATAAAAAACTTGAGGAGGGAAAAATGTGGTGATGGTTGGATATATTCACTATTCACCAAGCTGTGTTGAAAAAAAGTTGAGTCTAGGGTCGATGTTGGGTCGATGTAGGATCGATATAGGGTCGATGTGGGGTCGATGTAGGGGCGATGTAGGGTCGATGTGGGATCGATGTAGGGTCGAAATGGGGTCAATGTGGGGTGGATGTAGGGTCGACGTGGGGTCGATGTTTGGTCGATGTAGGGTTGATGTAGAGTCGACAAGAGGTCTATGTATTTGTGGATCGAAAAATATATAGAATAATAAATGAGGAGGTGGAGGTGGAGGAGGGAAAATAATAAAATTGTGGAGGAGGAGGCAAATCAAGATTGAGGAGGGAAAATAATAGAAATTGTGAAGGAGAAGGATAAAAAAGAATGAGAAGGAGGTGGGGAAAGATTAACATTGTGGAGAGGGAGGGAATTCAAGAATGAGGAGGGAAAATAATAAAATTGTGGAGGAGGGAATAAAAACATTGAGGAGGGAAAATAATAAAATTGTGGAGGAGGAAGGAAATAAAAATGAAAAGGGAGACTGGTAGGTAAAGCATTGTCTTTCGTGCTAAAAAAGAGCTAGTTTGCCCTTGCTGTCATTAATATGCACGATTTGCCCGTCAAAAAATCAGTGAACCGGAGCCAGGACAATGACAGCAGCAGGAAATAGGACTTGCTTAATTACGTTACGTCTTAGTGATTTAAGTCACAGTCACTATGAATTAACCAATGATAACCATGGCCAAAAATTCCGGACGTGGCGCCCGCGAAACGGCAGCGGCTATCTCATATCTCCGAAACAAACATGGCGATTAGGTTTACAAAGAAATGTATGGAGCGAAAAAATATAATTGAGGATAGAATAATTTCTGGCGTACCTGTAACATTTCCCAAGTTGGAATCCGTTAGAAGAAACAACCGTGATCCCATGTTGTGAATGTCAAATCTACACCAAACCGTTAACACCGTCCTTTTTTAGTGCGATTTTAGCGCTACTCCCGCTCTCTTTAGCCTTCTATTTTACGCGGAAAATTCCAGAAGTAGCAGTCTTCCATTGCAGCTGGCCATGTTTCCGTGGGATGGATTAATTTTGCTAAGTTCATTCCTCAAAGTCCAAATCATGTTCCACAAACACAGCGATTTTCAGGTCGATTGATAACGATTAACAGCGTCCTTTTTGGCGATGAAAACACACAGTAACACATAAATATAAAACTGCAAAAGCAGAATCACTCAACCGTGAAGTTGCGAAAATGAGCTCATGGTAGCTCGATTTTTTACGCGAAAAACTCACTTCTTCATGGCGTTCGCCAGCTTCGTTGGGTCGCCATTTTGACATCAAAATAAAGCTTTAAACCAGGCCTTCAGACTCCGTTGAGAAATGGGGAGAGTGGTTAAACAATCAGGTTGGTCAGCGTTGTAAAGAGCGGGAATTTTGCGCGCGTACGTTTACGTTCTAGTTTTGGATTTCGTTACCAAAAAAAAAAAAAAATGTCGGACCGGTTAGAAGGTTATGATCTCAGTAAGTTCAAACAAAACATTTCTTTATCAACTGAACATTGCCTGAATTACGTGAAACAAGATTGTATTGATGGAGATAACATTGCTTTTACGGTTAACATTCCGAACGAGCACCTTAGAAGTTGGCGTGACCTTCGAGAGGAGGGGGGCTTGTTGTGTCAATTCTCCTACGTGGAAATTTTGAATGCCATGATTGACGAATACGGCGTTAAAATTAAGGAAGACTGCGCAACTGGAAGTGAACGCTTTTTGCTCGCCATGGATTTCGCCATGTTTGTTTCTCTATTATTATGGAGAAAGCCGCATACCGCTGCGCGGGCTCAAATTCCGCCATTTTGTCCGGAATTTCTGGCCATGGTTTCTTATTTTCTAACTAACCGATCGAAAACGAAGACGTTTATCGATCTTAAAGTAACTCGCGTGACTTAAGGAATGGTTCTCGAGCGAGTATGAGACCCCCAGCATTGTTTCAAGTTGCCATTATTTAATGGCAAACTTTATTAACGTTTTGTTCTCGCATTTCAGTAAACAGTGAACTCGATCCGTACCGAA